ACCTCTGAGACTATCACAGTGCAGGTGCATTTATACGGAGACTTGATTACACACAGGTGGATTCTATTTATCATCCTTTGTCATTTAGGTCAACATTGGATCATTCAGAGATCCTCACTGAACTTCTGGAGAGAGTTTGCTGCACTGAAAGTAAAGGGGCTGAATAATTTTGCACGCCCAATTTTTCAGTTTTTTATTTGTTAAAAACGTTTGAAATATCCAATAAATTTCGTTCCACTTCATGATTGTGTCCCACTTGTTGTTGATTCTTCACAAAAAATTACAGTTTTATATCTTTATGTTTGAAGCCTGAAATGTGGCAAAAGGTCGCAAAGTTCAAGGGGGCCGAATACTTTCGCAAGGCACTGTATGTAAACTCATTTAATGGTGCTTATTTCTTATTTAGTGTATTTGTCTATGATTTATATTCCTGTATCAATGTGTTATTTATTTCACACTGCCCATAAGTGTCTTTGTGTGTGTGTGTGTGTGTGTGTGTGTGTGTGTAGAGATCAAATCACTGCTGAATACGGTACGCCACGGTATGGGTTCCTTCTTGGTCTTTGTTGGTCTGGATGGAACTAAAGAGGAGCTAGGGATTGTTTCCACCAACTTCTGGATCTATAAAGACAATGACCTGAACTCACTGTATGTTTTTTAAATATTTCTTTGTATTCCTTTGTTTTCCTGTATCCTCTTCATTTCTACAGCTGATGTTTTCAGAGGTTTACTTGCCAAATATAGGCCACATTTTGAATCACTTTACTTATTTTTCAGTTTCCATTACATTATTTAACACAGCCTTGTCTCTGTTATATTATATTAAGCATTTCAAGGATTTACTTACATAACAGCCACAACAGAAAGCTGAACAACAGCTTAATATGTTACCAGTGATTATACAATGATGAAACCTTGGAGTGCTATAAAACTCCCGATTCGTGATGGGCTGCCAAAGGTTTGTACTGGTGCATGCTGTTTTATCTGCTTGCTATAAATATATATGGATGTAGGGCTGGAACATCAGCAGACACTGTGAAATTATGTCCGAAAAAGTCAGATAATAGAGGTTCAAAATATTTGTCAAACTGTGGGACAGCGTGTTCCGCCTGATCCTCTGACAAATAGTACATTTCTCAGCCTAACTCATGTGCAGTACATACAGACCACATTAAAGTAATATGACATGTGGGCAGTATAGCCTCACTGAACTGAAGTAAAGGTGGGCTACAGAAAAGCTGGCTTATATGATGCTTTTGTGAAATCAGACAAAAGAAGGAAAATGGTGAGGCAGGAAAGCCATTACACCAGACCTCAGATATCCAGCGAGCCCAGAACCACATGGGGACATCAGGAAAGATAAGTTTGGTCACGCTTTCCTGCTCCTCCATACCAACTTCTAATGCACCACACGGTAGTTAGGATACAATGTGATGATATTTCTCCTAGTGGAGTTCAGTTTACAAGCTGAGGCCACCACAAAACAACAGTGAATGACCTGCACGTGAGCAGGAAGCACTAGTGCACCCTTTGCACACTGCTCAAAATAACACTCATTTACATTAATACAAACGTCAATGCTGATCTTCACTAGCATATCTAGGGAACCGTTTCTGAACTGACACTTTAACAGTTCTGCCTTTAAAGTCTGCACCTGAATATACAGTAACTGGTTAGCAGTTTCCATGCTAACACTTAGCATAACAAACTAAAGCTTTAGTATTCCATTCTTCCCTTGGCATAAACAATACTTAAGCACTTAAACCAAAGACAAATGAGTCTATTAACTGCATCCACATTTCCCTCACTTGTATGTTTTTAATTCAGTTTAAGTTATTTAAATTATATTTTATTTTTATAGTGCCAAATCACAACAACAATCATCTCAAGGCACTTTACTCAGTAAAGTATTCATTGTGTCTTAGCTGAGCTCACATAAGATGCAAGGAGAGAACAACCAAAGAAACATGTTCAAGGAGACATAAGATGTCCTGTGACATACCTTGTTGTGTCACCCTGTGACTTAAAACCTCTTCTTCTTGGCTTCAGGGAGCATCCAGTGTTAGTGGTGCATTACCACCACCCACTGTACTGAGTGTGGGCCAGTAGTTGAGCCAAAGGAAATATAGTGTATGTATGTGTGTAGACAAGACAACCAGGCACAAGGACAGTTTCTTCCCCTGGGCATCGCTCTGAAGAACACTTCATCCATGACAGTATGACTGGACAATAAACCTCAGTGCAATACCTTTTAATATACATTGTACAGATTATGCAGATTCATTAAGGTTTCTATTTTTATTTTAAATACTCAATTATTATTCAATTTTTTATCTTGTCTCCCAATGAACATTCCTTTGTCTGACTGCATTGTTTACTGCCTGTTTATACTGTTTATTTTGTTATACTACACAGCCTTATGTTGGTTTATTGTTTACTTGCCCCTTGTTGTTGCCTTGCATGGGGATATGTACATGCACATTGAGAGCCACTGTACCAGAGTCCAATTCCTCATGTCCAACACACCTGGCTAATAAAGCTGATTCTGATTCTGATTTAATGTGTCTGTGTACACATAATTTCAAGTATGGAGCGATACTCCTCTCTGGGCAGAGAGCAGATATTGGGGAACATTCCCATGATGTTCATCACATTCCCATCTGCTAAAGACCCCACAGCCAACATCAGACACCCAGGTAATACACAGCGATATTAGCTTAGATTAGATTCGCCTTATTGTCATTACCCATGTACAAGTACAAGGCAAGAAAATGCAGTTTGCCATCTAACCAGAAGTGTAATAACAGCAGTGAAAAGTGCGCAGTATCTACAGTATGAACAGTCAAAACTAATTTACCGATTATGTACAATTGATTTTTACAGTAAGATATGTAGGGTAATGTACGATGTTCAGCAGACTATGGATTCAAATTACAAGTAATGGACAGGTACATTAAGCTTATAAAACACTAGTGTAAAGGGATGAGATGGAATGAAACAGTGCAGAATAAGAAGATAAGTTACATGAGTGAACAGTTCAATGGATGTAAATAGTGCAAATATAAAGATAAATATGGAGTATCTGCATATGAACAGTGTGCAAAAGAATACAGAGCAGTATCCTGTGAGTAGAGAATGTGCAAATTAACAGATCACTTCAGTGATACAGGTAACAGAAGTGTATTGCATTAGTCCTGGGAGGAGAGATGAGAAGGGGTGAGGTGTGTGTAATGACATAGACGAGGGCAGTCGGGGGTCAATGGGGGGCAGAGTTCAGTAAGGAGATAGCTGTGGGGAAGAAGCTGTTCCTGAGTCTGCTGGTTTTGGTCCAGATGCTCCTGAAGCACCTCCCAGAGGGCAGGAGCTCAAACAGTTTGATAGCAGGGTGAGAGGAGTCCTTGAGAATGCTGCGAGCACATTGGAGACAGCATTCCCTGTGGACACCCTCAATGGTGTGTCCTTGTGATGCGTTGGGCAGTTTTCACCACCTGCTGCAGTACCTTGCGGTCGGAGACAGAGCAGTTTCCATACCATACCATTTGAGGATAATGGTGGAGGAGCAGGTGTTATCTGACCTAACATGCTGAGGCCTGTTGGTCAGAAAGTCTAGAATCCAGTTGCAGAGGGAGATGCTGATGCCCAGGTCGCCAAGTTTGGTGGTTAACTTGAAGGGGCTGACTGTGTTAAGTGCTGAGTTGAAGTCCACAAACAATATTCTTGCATAAGTGTTGTTGTCCAGGTGTCTGAGTACAGAATGCAGTGCTATGGAGTTTGTATCCTCCATGCCCCCATTGCTGCGGTAGGCAAATTGGTGGGGGTCCAGTGTGGGTGGGAGACAGGTCATCAGACATGCCAGGACCAGGTGCTCGAAGCATTTCATGACAATGGGTGTGAGTGCTACAGTCATTCAGGCACGCCGAGGTGGAATGTTTCGGCACTGGCACAATGGAATGGTGTTGAAGCATGTCGACACAACTGCTTGGGCGAGGGACAAGTTAAAAAAGTCCGTAAAGACGTCAGCAAGCTGTCGAGCACATGCCCTGAGCACGCGTCTAGGGATGCTATCAGGGCCATCAGCTTTGTGTACATTGGTGCTTGGCCTTCTTGATGCCCCTCCTCAGTTTGGCCCTGGATAAGCTATAGGCTTGTGCATCACCAGATCTGAAGGCAGAGTTGTGGGCCTTCAGCGGGAGCCACACCTCCTTGTTCATCCATGGCTTCTGATTTGGGTACGTGGTTATCTGTTTCTGGGTTGTGACACTATCAATGGCAGTGGTAATAAAGTCCAGCAGTGAGGAAATGTAGGTGTGGATGTCCGTGTTAGAGACACAGGTAGCCCAGGAGGTAAACATACTCCAGTCCAGATATGCCTGTAAGTGCAGTGTTACCTGCAGAATTATACTTCATGGTACTCACAAGAACTGCCCAAGAACAAGAAATGATGGCAGAATAATACACAGCCATTTGCACATCTGTGATACTTTTTAACTTTTAAGGCACTCATGCTGCACACTGCATTGAATGTTTTCATGCATGCATATAACTTAATCTCAAATGATGCTCGGCTAATCTGTAGCAAAATTTTAACCATAATCAGCCTTTTTTGCTGGACAATCCAATTCAAAGAGAAAGAATAATTCTTATTTTATTCCCCTGCAGGTAAGTCCTGTATGACGTTGCTGACAATGGCTCGCTATGAGTGGTTTGAGGAATGGAAGGGGACACATCTTGGAAAGAGGGGACAGAACTACCTGGATCTGAAAAACAGCATGGCCCAAGAACTCCTGGACTGGGCATTAACCATCTTCCCTCAATTACGAGACAAGGTGTATGTCAGTGTTTTTATGTGAATGTGTTTTTTTACAGTTATTTGCAGGCATTTTTAGGTGCATATTAATATTAAAATATACTGCTTTGTTAAATGGCACTGCTGGTTTGTTGATTAATTAAGCTTGCTTTAGTAGAGCAGAAAATGGTTATGTAAAATGCCCTGAGACATTTATTGTTGTGAATTGGTGCTATACAAATAAACTGAATTGAATTGATTTCCTGACAAATTTCCTTGAATGAAATTACCCCATTTAAATCCCAGTAAGTATTTGTCTATCATTTATTTATTTTTGTTTGTAGACAAATTTCACATTTTTGTGTTTCCCACCACTTATCCTAAAAGTCCCATGGTTAGGCTTTGGAAGGTTACCAACTGATTACTTTCATTTTTACTTAAAACAGTACCAAATTGCAAGGTGTTTTTTTTTTTCAAGAAACCTATTACAAAAACATTTATAAATGAATCTCAAATTACAAACTGACTTTACCAGCTGTTATAAATCCATTGTATCTACTCTGGTATGATTTCTAGAGTGCCTTTTTACTGTTTACACAATACCTGTCCAAGAAATTGCTGTACCTTTTTGTATGCACAATGGCAGTTTGAATTGCTAAAGTTCTATGATGAAGAAAAAAAATTCAAGGCTTTTATTCATGAGATATAATGAATAAAAAGCCTTCAATATTACATGGCTGACACTAATATATTTCAGCTAGGTGTTGAAACAAGTGAATAGTGTTCCCTTTTGAGGCTACAGCTCTATATAGCACATTACTGTTGATATATTGTACTTTTGTCTGTACTTTTGTCTACAAATATAACATGTATATGTGTGTCCAGGTGGTAATGGTGGATGCTGCCACCCCTCTAACAAATGTTCACTATCTGGGTGCTCCGAGAGGTGAGATGTACGGTGCTGAACACAACCTGGAGCGCTTCACACCAGAAGCAATAGCAAGGACACGACCACAGACACCCATCAACGGACTTTACTTAACAGGTGACCTGACTGTCAGGACGGTCTCATCTGATCGGACTGCTATGGACACACCTGCTCAATGTTTCTGTGTGTGTTTGTGTGCGTGTGTGTACAGGTCAGGATGTATTCTGTAATGGCATGGCTGGTGCTCTGCATGGTGGGCTGCTCTGTGCCTCGACCGTCCTCAATCAGATACTCTACATTGACCTCCTAGCCCTGAAGATCCATCTCAAACACAAACAGAACAATCGGAAACTGAACTAGTAGTAAGAGGCACCACCCTGCCTCCACCCTCCACAGCTCATAATCTGTGTTATCATGACTATAATTTGTTGTCTGCAACAGCTATTATTCATTCTGTGTAAGTTAAAGTGGTATTTATGTTTTTCAGATTTCCAGATAGTAAAGGAAAGGATGAGTAAAGGTCAGAGATAAGTGATGGTAAAACTCAAGATGCAACAGTGGAGACAGAAACAAAGAGAAAGTAAAGAAGGTGAAACTGAAAAAATGAATCAGCTGATGGAGAGAGAAACCGTTGAGAGGATGGGAAACTGTTAAGACCTAACTTATATTTTAAAGCTAGAAAAACCCTGGAACCTGTTATAAAACAAAGAACAAATATTTTAATAACGGTAATAATACTACGCAGCCATATTTAAATACAGTAGAGTGCATGCAATGCCATTTAACTGTATGTATGGTCAAGTTGAGACACCCATGGTTGATATGGTGACCTATGCACCACATTAATCAAGGTCTCGTGTGGACTAAATATTTCAATGCTGTTTCCTAAGCCTCATTTAGGTGTGGAGGCCTTCCAGCCAACAGTTTCACCAAAAGTTCATTTCTCATAGCCTCATTTAATAGCTCGTTTGCCATTGGTCATGACATTCAGGGAAATGACACATGCTTCAAGGTGAGGTTTTGTTTGGAGGTCTAGAAACTGAACTTCAGAAACACGTTTTATGTCAATCTTGACCCTTCTCTTAAACATTAAAGGACTACACAAGATCACAACAGAAAATAATTAAGTTGTACTACATGGAAAAGAAAGTAAAACAAAATAAGTTTGTACAGGAAATGCACAACCATTTTATTGCTCATCTATGTTTCTCTGCTGCCACACAGAATTTCAGTATAGCTACTGTTAGGAAGCCATTGTTTATCTTTCCTTGTCTTTGAACAGTATATAGGAAGTTTCCTATTTTAGAGAAGTTGAAGAATAAATGAAAGAGCACCAAGACTTGTAAATATTCCTATTTTTTTTATGTTGTTTACTTGCTCCAAACTGTGAATGACTTCACATCCACAAGATGACTTACTTTGCAGATTTATTAGGTTTCCACACAAGGCATGAGTTATTGTTTGTGATATATTTTGGTGGCCAACAATGTCCATCAAAGGACTGGAACTCCAACGACTAGGGGGCATTGTTTGCCATAGAAGGAAGCCTCTTAGATGAGAGGTGAAATGTTTTCTACCTAAAACTACATATGTCCAAATACCTTCTGCTAATTTTTTTCAGCATACTATGACCTGGATGACTGACAGTTTGCACAAACATGTTGCTAGTCTATGAGATACTAAGTTGAAGGTGTCAATAGTTATTGGTCTAGTCCATTTAAAATAGCAATAAAAAAATTCAAGGATTCAAGATTTTTATTTGCCATTTATGAATAAACAGACAGTCTAGGCAATTCTTGTGCGGCTGTCCTTTGGACTCAGGTAAGGAGTCAAAAGCCAGAAAGAACACTTTTAGTCTTAAAATAAAAAAGTTACATAAAGGTGACAAAGCATTAAAACCGAAATACACAAAAATAGAGTAATAGTATTTCCCACAGTGAACATTGAACAAACATCGCACTTAGTAATTCACATGGTGGAGTTGGATATGTCATTACGCTTGATGAAGTAGTGAGGGGTTATTACACAAACATTCTCACATTTTTCACATTTTCCTATTTGCCATCAGTCTTACTGCGGCAGGGAAAAAGCTGTTGTAAAGTCTTGTTCTGTGTGTGATGATACTGTCCACCCTACTGTGCCTGAGGCTGTAGGTGCAGTTTTTGTATCTGAGCAGGGAGTGAGTTGGGTGGCATAGGTCTCTGATTATGTTCTCTGCCCTTTTATGACAGCACTGTGTGTACAGTGTGTCCATAGCAGGCAGTTCAGTCCCAGTGATCCTCTCTGCAGTCTTTATGACCCTTTGAAGAGCCTTCCTCTCCACCTGTGTGGTGTTACCATACCTGTAATGCCAGTTTGGTATAGCAGGAAGACTGGGATAAGAATGTGAGAATATAATTTGGTCACATGGGACTGAACAGTACACTGATAAAGTTAATGAAACTTAATACCAGCAAATGTTAAAAACTGCAGGTCCTTTTCACTTTGTAACATAAGTTACAATGACTGAGCACCTGACCTAGTGTTACCTGAGTGGGCTGATTATGTTATGACATAATTTGCCTAATGTTTGTCTTTATTGCTTTAAATTATTCTAATTTTAGTCTAATATGCTGTTGTAAAAAGCTAGGTGTACAAATGTATTAGACCTTGGACTTTTTATATTTTATTCATATATTTTATTTTTTTCATATGTGAATAAGGTGCCGTGGCCATCAAACTAGGTCCTGGTGTTATGTCAAATTCTGATACCTATCGAGACTCTGCTACTAAGGTGTCATTTCTCGACAAGGTAGCACAATTTGACAGAACACCGGTCACAATTTGAGAGGTGTCGAATCTGGATCCGGTCTTGTTTCGAAAAGGGGAAACACGTCTCTGCAGGTAATATCTATTTGCCAGTTGCCAATAAACATCATAAATGTTTTAAATAAACGTGCTTTTATTCTGAAAAGCCTGTTTTCCGCCAAGCCAGAAGAAAGCCACACTTCCGGTCTGTGTGTGAAAAGCGGAACAAGTGGCCCTACTAAGGGAAAGGGGAACAAAGGACCATTGAGTGAGTGTGTTGATGTTATTTCAAGGCTAATAAAGAAAATGTTATATTCTACCATTTGTAAGGTTGATGTAAAAAAAAAAAAACATTACACAAATATAATTGTTTTACCGTTCAGTAATATAGGGTGGCTAAATAGCTCCATGTGCGTCGCTGTAGCGGGTGACGGTATTGTCGTTAGCCTAGATTCATCACCAAGGCTGATATTATGGCAAGCGTTGTAAAGTTACAGCGTCAGCCACGCTGCATTTTATATATATTGGTGCGTTTGTTGGAAGACAATTGTTCCGAAATAGAGTAAGCGAAAGCTAGATATTCTGCTAAATAGCCGCTGTCATTTTTTTGCGGCAAACGGTGTCTTTGTGTTAGCATGTTTGGCTAATTAGCCAGGCCGGGTAATTTTAGCTTGTTTTTAAGACCTTCAACCACTGCTGTCGTAAATGGTTATCAAAGTTTGACATTTTTAATACTTTACCTGTGCATATATAGCGATTTTGCGTAGCAGACAACAAAAGTGCAATAGCAGGATGATTGATAATGACCTAATTTGTTTGACTGATCCACCCCCAGGTTTTCTTATTCAGGTTAGCCAACATGGGAATAGCCTGCGCTCCGTAATTCAGTCCCAAACCACGATGTCAAGTAAGTAAACATTAATCTTATTAATAGTCACTGATAACTTACTACATTAGTAATGACCTCTGTCCAGGGCACAGTGCTTAGGCGCAGCAGACACACATTCTCGTTATTTAGACCATAAACACAAACACTAACGCTAAGAAACCAGGAAGGGTCAGTAGTAAAATCCTAGCGAACTACAAGGTGTTCCCTGGTTCGAAAACTCTCAGCTGAAGATCAGACTGGGTGGCAGTAGTTTTTTTTTTTACATGGCATTTAACTGATGTCACTGGCATCTAGTCCTGGAAGAGAAACAACTGTTGTGCTAATGCACTTTATGGTCATTATGGAGGCTGTAGTTTGTGCTTCTGTTGAACTGTACTGCATTATATAGACAGCTGTTTGTTAGTTAGCCTAGCTCACTACCATAGCATAAATAAGGTGGATCAATTAATAGAAACTCTTGCCTGCAGTAAACTTGAACAGCAACACAAACTGCAGCCTCCATAATGATGATATAGTTGAAGCAGCACCTGTCTGAAACGCTTGAACACAAACTGAACTATCACCTTCATAAGGAGGAGTTACTGCAGAACTGTTGGATATGACTTAGTTTTAGCTACATGTATGTAATAAACTGACAAATGAGTGTATATAAACATACACATTTTTTAGCAGACTAACCCCCCCGTGTCCCCGTTCAGGGGCTAAACGATAGAAAATGAATGAATGAATAACAGCTATTATCCTCTTTCTCTGACAGAACGGCCATCTTACGCCCCTCCCCCTGCCCCTGCCCCAACAACAGTAAGTGTCCAACTCCCAGTTTCAGTGACTTTTACTGTTGAATGGCCAGAGGGCTGTTTGCTCTGTACATTTTTTTTTTTTTTTGGTTCCTTTTTTATCTTTTTTCTTGCCATCTTAATCCCTTCCTTCTTAGCCTTTTCTATTGCTTTTGTTTCTTTCTCTCTGTTTGAACACATGGAGATTGCCACAGATCTTGGTCAGCTCTCCATAATTGCTCTCACTCCTGCTTTTTCCTCTCGTACCACCACATATTCAAGGTCTTGAGGGGTTTGGTTTGGCTCGTGCTTTTACAAAGCTTAATTGGAGCTGGGGGACTAGTTTCCTTGAAATCTGATTTAAAATCTTAAACCTTGATGACATCAAATTTAATAATTTAGCACATGTATTCTTAGTAGATGTACAGTATGTCTGCAGGTCTATATCAACATGCAGTAACAGGGTACAACATTGTGCATACTGGGGGGATGATCTGAGCTTGTTGCAAGGTCCTGGTGTACATGTAACATTCTCATGTTGTGCACTCATTCTGAATGTCAGCCTGCCAACCAGTTACCTTTTTTGCCTTGCATGATGATGTCATGGAAAACAAACAAGTTGAAAAAACAAAATATATTTTATGTTTTCTCCCCTTTTCACTTATTTGTGTTTATCCCTCTTCCTCCTCTTGTTTGTGGGCCATTTCTCATTCGTGTTTTGTCTCATTTGTCTTCCATCAGCAAATGCCTTCCACCCCAGGGTTTGTGGGCTACAACCCTTACAGCCATCTGGCGTACAACAACCTCCGGCTGGGAGGGAGCTCCGGAGGCTCCAGCAGGGTAATGAATTGGGGGGGTTTTAAAAGACAAAACCAGATAAGGGGATGGGTTCACGATAAGAGGGCGGGTTGTCAGAAAATGTCTTGGACTAAAAGCGAAAAGACACCAGCATAGAGAATGTGCAGAAGGTGAGGCTAAAACAGACAGAGGCTGTTGGGATGATGATCATGAACAAGTGATAGTGATGAATGTTTTTATTAATGTTAATGTTTTTATTTATCTGATTTTGCTGCTAGACATCAATGGGTTTAACTAGTATAAATTTATGGAGCTTAAAATGACTTTGTTGTGCTGAGGTTGTGAATTGATATTTGTCATGATACCAAAATAGAACATAGTTTGTAGTCAAATTTGTTGGACAGTGTAAATGGGTCAGTTTTAAACACTATAATAACAATTATGAAATATTTAGACTTTACAGTGCAGGCAAGACTTCAAAGTTCACTATACTGGGCAGATTTACCTCCCAGTTAGAATACGAAAAAAGTGTGTATGTTGAAAGATACTGCGGAAAACTTACACACTGGAATTGATAATATCCCAATTTTATTCCATGAAAAGCTTTACCAGGACACTTGACACTGAAATTAGGTGTTGCATTTTTTGTTTCATTTTATTAATGCATGACATCTGCATCTTTGTGTGGTCTTGCAAGAGGCAATTGCTACGTTTACATTGTGTTTCTGCTTTTTTTTATTATTATTATTTAAAATGAATGAAAGAATTTTACATTCATGAACTCATCTGTACAAGCCAAAGAAAATCCCTCACCAGCTATGTTGGTCACACTATCTCGGACAGAAAGACCTTTCTTTGATAAACAGCCAGAATGGAAAAAACTGTCTGTGTTCTTCTGGCACATTTTTATATGGCCAAAACAAGCTGTTGCAACTCTGTGGGTAATAGTTTAAGGCCCAGCCTCTGTCAAGTGTTACTGTTAGACAGAACAGTGTCATTACTCTCCCATCTGTGCACTGCAACACACACTAGCTGTGTCACATGGCATATAGACTGATAAAATCTCCTGCAAAAGAGTTGACCTTTTTATGTAATCAGAAGAGGGATCGGCATGCATTTATCACAGTCTCTGTAACATCCAACAACATTAGCACTACGTGGCATATGAACTATTAATTAAAAATCGATACTGTTTTGATAATCAATACCGTATCACAAAGCATAATATTGCAATACTAAAGTGTACTGATATTTTCTTACTCCCCTACCACCAGTAAATGTTACACTATAATTTAAATGGACAAAACTTTTGACTTGTTTTTATCTTAAAGGGAGTTGATCTGATGCACATCAGTGGATGAATCTTTCATTCACCTTCTCTAGTTGGTCTCCTTTGCCTCTTTTTGACGGGGTTTTTTGTTTTGTTTTTACAGCATAACTGAGTGACCAAAAACAGTTCTTCATCATGTGCATAGTACATAACAGCATTCAATGCATGAAGCATCTCTTGCCAGCAAACTCTCTGGAGAGCTGGAAAACTATTCTCTTTTCTGTTGAATGAGAGAAACCAGAGACATTGACCACAGACATTCAGTTCCCATTCACAATATCTCTCACTGCACCCTGTTCTGGTGGATTAAACACTTGAAGTTTAGTGGCTTAGATCACAGAGTTGGTACTGCTTTTGTTTACATCTTATTTTTGATTTATGAGTGAGTTATGTAATTTATCAAAATACATTTATATCTCTGTTTTATTTATATGTTGTTACATGTATTAGTTGTCTGAATTGTTGTGCAATCATTGTTTTGGACTCTACAGTCTCTAGCCCAGTTCATCGTTGTACCCTCGATTCACTCTGTGCACATGTTGGTTTGCAACCTGACTGGACGAAGGTCATCAGTGAAACAGCTCCTGTTATGCCTCTTCCTCTCCTGTACATTGGGCATGTTTGTTCCTGTGTGTGTGTGTGTTTTCTTTTCTTTTCAGGTACATGTACCTGATTAGCTTATTTTCACAATATTTTTAAGTCCTTAACCGTATTTCACAGAGAAATAGTGTTTTTTGCACCACTACTTTATCTGACACCACGTTTTTTGCTTACAAAACATAAAAAGATGTTGTAGAACATGACCGTTGAAAACATAAAAAGATGTTGTAGAACATGGTGGTTATAGATCACATTTCTGTACTTAACAATATATACAAGTAGAGCTGAAACATTTACTTAATTGATTAGCTGACTGACAAAAGATGAATGGTTTATCTGGTTTAAAAATACCATATATTTCATGATCACAGGCTCTCAAAAGTCAGGGCCCCATTTTTCGTTTTAATTTTAATTGTGAGGTCTGTCTTCAGACACTGAGGTCTCCACAACTGGACAACCTGGTGTCAAAGGTTACAGTGACCTGTGAGTTAATACAAAAGACAGTTTAGCAGTGTTTCAGCAATTATTCAGATACAGTAAAATGCACCACTATCACTTACTTTGCAGAAAACATTTTGTTTGATAGGAGGAACGAGGACAGCAAGCAAACCACGTTTCAGTGTCCATATCACCATGACTGGTGTAAGACTGACTTTAAAAAATGTTTACCTGTTCTTTCAATTATAAGTTTAGAAGCTTTTTGCTTTTGGTTGGAATATTTTTGGTCAGTCTGGTGGATGTAATAGGCTTTGTCCTCAGTTCTTCAGATGTGGGTGGCATACAAACAGGAATGTACAATTTCATGCCTCATTAAGTTCCTGATGTTTCACCTGCAAAGCTTGCATGATGGCACCATATATGCATGTAAATACATTAATCCAGTTGTAAGAAAGCATTCAGGACCTCTGAGGTGATGAGTGTTCTCACTTATGTTATGTTTACATGAGCCTCACCATCATCACTTATTTGCGGATGTTTTATGATAGTGTTTTTTTTTTTAATGTTTTGTTTGCTTTTCTCACTTCTGTTTCCAAGCCTCTCTTTGCCCCTTTCTCCCTCTCCTGCATCATTTTCATCTCCTTATTCACAGTTTTCTCCCCTTTGTCCCCCTTCCTTCTACAGAACTCCTCAGGCATCACCGTTCCAAAACCTCCCAAACCTCCAGACAAGCCACTGATGCCTTACATGCGGTACAGCCGGAAGGTAAGCAGGAAGGTAAGACACCCATCCACGGTGTCTGCTTTTACTGCTTGTCCGCCCATCCCCTGTGAAGTTGCAGGGGTTTCAGGGTGGGAAACAGCCAAGTCATGACGCCTTCACCACCACCTCAACCACCTAGTGGATACTAAACTCTTATCTTGTTGGTGCTTACATTAGCTGCCTGTGCTTGTCAATGCTAAAGAGCAATTATAGCATCTCCTTGTGTTTCCCCGTGCAAGCATGATCTGTTACAGCCTCTTTATTTCTTCACTTTTTTTTTTGCTTATCCTTTACCTGCTTCTCCATTTCTACAGCTGGAAATTTTAATATTGATTGCTGCATAAAGAAAACATGTATTCTAAAAATTCACAGACAAACTGGTGGGTCATTCCATTGCATCCAGTTTTATTACAACAGTTTATATTCTGTACCTTTATTAATAAATCTGTACAGTGGAATATATTCTAGAATTTCTTTGCTTTGCACTTTTCTCACCGTTTTCCATTCTCTTGAAGTTTCTTATTTGCGGTTATCTGCAGTTGCCTTGTAGTGACCATATGTTGTTTTTTTTCTGTGTGCACGGTGATGCTCCTGCTGGTGCATGTGTTTGCACATGCAAGGTATGGGACCAAGTGAAGGCGTCCAACCCAGACCTGAAGCTGTGGGAGATCGGAAAGATTATCGGGGGGATGTGGAGGGACCTGACTGATGAGGAGAAACAGGATTACTTGAATGAGTATGAAGCTGAGAAGGTGAGCTGCCAAAGGGTCTGAATTCCTGCT